TTTAATTTTAGCAAAATGTTTTTTTCCCCTGAGGACACTCAACTACTACTCTCCTTTTTACTATCCCTTTTTTTTCTCTCTCTCTCTTACCCCATCATCCTTATCATCTTCATCTTCTTCTTCCTTCTCGAGGGGATCGTTTTCCATAGCAAGCAAGTAAGCAAACTAACAGGTAGGCTTACTTAGTTTAGTTAGGTACGAAAGAAAAAAAAAAGTGGCAGGAGATAGCAGTTATCTGCTCTTCAACTACCCTCTAACTTTTAACCATAAAACCCCATCACTTTTCTTTGCAGTAAATTGACACCCCTTTTTTTCTAAGTAAAAACTTCTTCATAGAATGGAGTTGATTTGAAAAAACCGAACGAAAATCAATGTGTGTTTGTGTCTGACTGCATACTACGAAACATAGACTCATATTATCTCAAAACACACCTTTAACACTTTGAACGCCACCCAAATTTCTATGGAAATCTCCGTCAGAGGTCACGCGTATTACTTTGTATTAAAAAAAACAATTGAACGTCAGTCATTAGTGACTGACACGGCTTAAGTTGAAATTCATCGTCAGTCAGCGATGTCTGGCAATGATATATTTCATACAAGCCATGTCAGTCACTAATGACTGACGCCCAACTGTTTTTTCAATACAAAATACACGTGTGGTCTGACGCCATCGTCAGTCCACCCTGACGCAACCCTGACGCAGCTCAAATTGAAATTCATCGTCAGTCAGCGATGTCTGGCAATGAAATTCATCATATACGCCGTGTCAGTCACTAATGACTGACGCCCAACTGTTTTTTCAATACAAAAAATACACTCGTGGTCTGACGTCATCGTCAGTCCACCCTGACGCAACCCTGACGCAGCTTAGATTGAAATTCATCGTCAGTCAGCGATGTCTGACAATGAAATTCTTCATATACGCCGTGTCAGTCACTAATGACTGACGTCCAACTGTTTTTTCAATACAAAATACACGTGTGGTCTGAAGCTATCATCAGTCAATCTTGACACAACCCTGACGGGGATTTCCGTAAAAATTTGCGTGACACTCAACGTTTTAAAAATATAAGTTATCTTATTTCTAAGTTAAAAAAAATCACATAAAATAAAAAAAAACTTATTAACACTATGACGTCCGGTGGCTCCACATTGGTGCCATGCGAAAATTATCGGGTAAAGTGCCGATGGCTGTATCGTGGTATTCAAAACTGTAAAACGAAAGTTAACACTTTAATGGCCGCACGTCTAAGCAATCAAAAGTCGTCAGAGGCCGGTAGAATATTTTTGAAAAATTCATTTCAAGAAACTTTATATTAAATTCACGAAAAAATGACTTGCAGATGGCATAGTGTTAAGATCGGTTCTGCAATATTTTCAATTACAATGCAGATCCTTGAATATATCTATATGTGTATGTGTATGTATGATATTGGGAATAATTTATAGAAGAAAATTAGAACATTTGAATGATCTAAAAATGTCCATTTACGTAATGAGAAAATTGTGATATTTAATGCGTATTAAATATTACATCGTGGTTCCATTTTCTCTCTCTCTCTTTCTATCACTCAAACTATTACTTGTTTCTTTAATCTACAGCATCATTTCTATATATATATATATATGATGGACCAATCGATCTTATCTGAAAATACATGTATCATGAACCAACGTCCCTGAATTTTACGATGTTAACATACATACGTGTATTAAACGAGTATGGGTTTTACTATACGCATTGGCAACCTGCCATTCGTGCAACACGTGAGTGCTATTGAAGTAATGCTACAAATGGGGGTTCAAAGGGAGAAAGGGGAGGGTTTGCAGAAGAGAAAGTGAGTGAGAGAGAGAGAGAGAGAGATAGGTAAAGGTTGAACTGAGGAAAGGGTTGGTACGAAGAAGGGTTGTTGGAAAGCACCAGAAAAAAATGAAAGCAAAAAAGAAACTATGACAAACATTTCATTTTACGATTATCAAACGACCCAAGTTACTTTTTTAATGATATAGGACAACACTTTTTTATGAGTACTCTTCTCTCTCTCTCTCTCTCTTGTATCATCGTGAAACATTAATAGGACAAATTACGTGATGTTACAAAAGAAAAAAGAAACAAATGTTACGTAAGCAAGTTCATCATTGTGTTGTCATTGGTAGAATCGTGTTACGTTTTTCAACGAACGATCAAACACACGTTTTATAGTTCTACGATACTTCAAGGTCAAGTTTATTTTCTACATATTATTGTGAATGTACAAATTAATTCGATCCGTTTTTAAAAGATGGCTCTAAAAGCATTAAATTTTGAAATAGTAACAGCTGATTGTCGCCTTGGTTTTCAGACAAATTGGACATCTGTCGATAACATTCAGTTTGTATTGTTTTGAGTTTTTATACAAAATATTTGTTGTTACGTTGTTGAAAATTTCAAATTTTATGATAACTAAACAGCATTTGCGGCAAGTTTGAATTTTTTGTTTGGTTTTAATTGGAAAAAAAGTGCAGCTGAAGCTCATCGTATGTTTATGGAAGTTTACGATGACAATGTTCTAACTGACAAGTCATGTGAAGAATGATTTTGACACTTCAAAAGTGGTGATTTCAGTGTTGAAGATAGACCTCACTCCGGACAGTCAAAAAAAAAATTCGTAGACGATGAATTACAGGCATTACTCGATAAAGATCCGAGTCAAATGCAAGACGAGTCTGCACTTACGTTGGAGTTGAACCAAAAATCAGTGTCTGTACGTTTCAAATCTAGGGGCATTATACGAGAAAACGGCCAGAATATAAGAACAGATATGACAATGTTATTCTTTTGCATGATAACTTTGGGCCTTACGTCACAAAAGTTGTCAACAAATATTTAGAAACGATCAAATGGGATATCATACCGCACTCGACGTATTCTTCAGACATTACTCCTTCTGACTACTGACTATTTCGACAGATGCAACACGATTTAGCAGGTCATTACTTCATTTCTTTCGAAGAAATCGAAAATTAGCTTCAAAATTGGATCGCGTCAAAAGACGAGAAGTTGTTTAGAGACGAAATTCAAAAATTGCTTGAGAGGTGGGGAAAAAGTTGTAAACAGTGATGATAAATATTTGGATTAATTTGTTAATTCATTATCTTTTGAAAATAAATGCATTTTTTGAGCTAGAAAAACGGACAAAATTAATTTGTACACCTAATAATAATTCACTTTATTTTTATCATGTAAAATTAACTTTTTTTAAACAAAACAAAATTACAAAAATGATAAGAAAAATAACAAAACAATTTATTTTATTCTTATATTTTATTGAAATTAGAAGATTATAATAATGATGATTGAACAATTTTGTGTAGAAAAATCATAAATCAAAATCTCTCTCTTTTATATTAATTTTATTGAATTTATTATTAAGTAAGGTGGAGATTTTATCTATGCTCTTGTATCTTATTATATATATTATACTTAAGTACTTAGGATTGTGTGGAAGAAGACGATGACTCGTCTCATTCGACGACTCTTATACAGTCACTGTAAAATTATGACAATTTAAAACAGAGTATATCGTTCTGGTACTTTCGTCATTTAAGTTTTCGTGCTCTGTCAAGTTACTAGTTGACGTTCGACGTTAGTTTAATCATATTCATTTTTATTTATTAATTTATGGTTATACTCACGCCTTTATATATCTCTGTGTGTGTGTGTGTATGTGTTTCAATATTTTTTTTAAATTAAAAAATAAATATATAAATTATTATATTTAATTGATTATTTATTAACAGTTTGCTAGAGTAGTAAGAATTAAACAAATAATCAGTCATTTTATTTCACGTGTGTATAGGTGTGTGTTGTTCGTGTGTTTCAATTTTTTTTTTTTTTTTTAAATAAAAAAATAATACGTAAATTATTATAATATTTAGTTGATTATTTACAGAGGGTTTTTTTTTCATTGTAAAAATTAAATACAACAGCAATTATTTTATTTTACGTTAATTTTCTAAATTATTTAAATTTGTTATATATATATATATATTTATTATTTAATAATTTATTAGTAATAATCTTGTGTGTGTAATTTTTATTTTAATTCTGTGTGTTATCAAAAAATTTGATTAGAAATTGATCGATATTTTAAAACGTTTCTGTTTTAATTCACTGTCAGGCAAGTAAATGAGTTAACAATTTATTTATGGATCAAATTTGAATGCAAATTGTTCATAAACCTAACTAATATTTTGAAATTTATCGCGTGATTGCGTGTTCTGTAATTTTTTCGATGAAGAATATATTAAACTATAATCTGTTATAAAAAAAAAAATAAAAAAAAATAAAAAAAATACCATATTACAAAATTAAAATTTGATTTATCCACGAAACATGATAATTATAATAATATTGTATTTCTATTTACATTAAATAATTAAAAAAAAAAAAAAAACAACAACAACAACAGCAATAACAACTAACAAAAATTAAAAGAATAATAAAACGTATTAAGTAAAATTTATTTCACTTATATTACATTAATAATAATGTAATTAATAGTAATATAATATAATTACATTAATATAAATAAAAAAATATAACAATTTGTCTGATTAATAAAATTATAATAAAATATAATATAAATTATATAAATAAAAAAAAAAGAATTAAAAACAAATTTATCAATTAATAAAATATTAAATAAATATTTCAATAAAATATTAAAATATTAAATAAATATTTCAATAAAATATTAAAATATTAAATAAATATTTGAATAACATATTAAAATATTAAATAAATATTTGAATAAAATATTAAAATATTAAATAAATATTTGAANATATTTGAATAAAATATTAAAATATTAAATAAATTATAATTTATTATAATAATATTTATTATTATTATTATTATTATTATTATTATTATTATTATTATAATTATTTATTATAATAAAATATTTAAAATAAAATAAATTAATTTTGTTGAATATATAATTAATTGTTTATAGCGAAGGCAGAGAAAAGGTACGCGTGTCGTTACTTGGTCCACAACCTTCACCTGCTACACCTGGTGTCCTATTATTGGAACCAATTATACCACCCATTGGACACCCAATCGAAATGGCTGCGATTCCTGCTGAACTTTTAACGACGCATTCTGAACACACAACTCCTGCTTATCACACGCAAATCAGGTATTTTTTATTCTAATTATTTATTTATTCATTTATTTATTTATTTCTAAAATACGTCTGTATACCTGTGTATGTGTGTATGATTTCATTAACATAATGTTTAACATCACTTTTAAAGAACAAACCCTTTTTTTCTTTTCGAAAGACAACGAACGTAAGTCAAGTGAAATGATGAAGACGAATAATAACGTCATTGTTCCACTTGTGGATTAGATTTGCTCGATGAGTAATAATAAATGACGTAATAAAAGTAAAAAAAAAAAAAAAAAAGGGGGTCACACTGTATATCTAAAACAATTGATAAGATTAAAACTTTAACCTCAATCTTTTCTTACAACTAAATAATTCAATCATTTCTCAAATTATTGAATAGAATCATCTTAAAAAAAAAAAAAAACAATAAATCTTATTAATATAATTAAACCTAATCAATCTCAATAATGATTGGTCTTTCAAAATTTATTTTTATTTTTTTTTATCTACCATTAAATAATAAAATTAAATAATTCGATAACTCGGTATCCTGGTTTACCTGTTGAAATGTTAATAAATTAAATAATTTTTATTATTATCAATTAATTAATTAATATAAAATTAAATATAAATTCAATAACTTGGTACCATGTTGAAATATTTAAAAAAAAAAAATAAATAAATAAATAAGCCTAAATTAAATTAAATTAAATAATTTTTATTATTAAAACATAATTTTATAATATTAATTAATATAAAATTAAAATACCCTAACTACCTTGAGTAGTACCTTGTTAAAATATTAAAAAACATAATAATAATAATAAGATAAATAATTTGTTTTAAATAAAAACAATATCAATTAAAATAAAATTCAATAAAAATTCGTTAATTTGGTACTATGTTAAAATATTTAAAAAAAAATAATAATAATAAATAATTAAATATTTAAAAGTCAATCTCACACACACAACCTGATCAAATAATATGACACAGTTACACTTAAATAACAATAACCATTTTTAAAAAATAAACATTAATTTTATTTTATTTATTTAAAAAAAAAAAAAAGCAATCTGAAATCTGTTATCAAACTTGATACGAAAGTAATCAACAATTATTACAGTTCAGTGTACGTTTAAACGCATATGGTCTGAAAGAAGATACGTGCCAAGGTTAATATAGTTAAAACGTGCTTTTTTACGTAACTCAAGTTGCACCGGTTTAACTGTTGCCAATTTTCTTTCTTTTTTACACTTACAACCCTATCTCCCCTGTATTTGAACGATTTAACATCCTACTAAAATACTAATACTACTTGAAAGACTTTCGAAGCTTCAGAAGATGCTAAAAAGAGAGAGAAAGTAAATAAACTGTCCCGATATATAACGGTGATTCGCTACCGGAAATGGACGTAATCCAAGTATCGTACCATTTATGGACACCCCCGTTCAGTTAGTATTTAAACGTGATTCCCTGTCATGTCCCAATCATTCGATTTATTATTTATTTGCTTATTTGATTTTTTACTCTAAAAATAGACGATGTCAAACTATTTTTATTTGCAAATAATTTCAACGATTTATAATTATAAAATATAAAATAAAAAAAAAATTTAACCTATTTGCACCATAAGCGCATATATGCGCCCATTTAACCTAGTTATTATTACGAGAGTGCATTTCACTGTTAGGCACATCACCTATGTAAGTGCATACAATCAAAAACAGAAAAATGTTGGGTATGAGAATGAATTTTCTAATGTTTTTTTCATGTTTGATGGAAATGGGTTGAATGGGTTGAAAAATGGAAAAAAAAATCAGTGTTGGGATACAATAAATGAGAACCACTGTGTCTTCGAAATAATTAGCCTCCTGCACACGATCCGTGCGACCCCCGGTTTGCTTTTAATGGGCCGGAAGCAGGCGTCGTTCCTTTCTCCTCCACCATCACCTCCTCCACCTCCTCCTCCTCTTCGTCGTGTACTCTCGTACTCTTCTCCCTTCTTCTTCTTCTTCTTCTTCCTCCTCCTCTTCCTCCTCCTCTTCTTCTTCTCTTTCTCCCACTTCCGCGTTCTATCGTTGCACAAAACTTCAACGTGAAACAATTTCCTATTTGTTCCGTCACGATTTATTTTAGAACGATTCTATCAACGAAAGTTTATTGTTAGATCTAATTTTGTTAGAGTTGTAAATGCATTTCCGTCATGGCACTAATTTAGGATCAACGATTAGTTCAAATGTCATAGATGATTGTTCAAACGTCAAAAATTGTCATAGATTGTAAGACAAATGTTTCGTATGCTGAATATTCAACAATTGATGATAAAAGACTATAATCATGCGCGAAATGTTCTGAAGTTGGTAATAGGAGGCGTTCGTCATGCACGGAATAATCCGAAGTTGGTTACAAAAGACACATCATCATGTGCAAAACATTAGAAACCGATCGTCATGTGCAGATTATTCTGCAGTTGATAATAGGAGATATTCGTCATGCGCAGAATAATCTGATGTTGGTTACAAAAGACAGATCGTCATGCGCGAAATGTTCCGCAGTTAGTGAAAGAAAACAGTTCGTCATGCGCGGAATAATCCGAAGTTGGTTACAGAAGACACATCATCATGCGCGAGACATTAGAAGCCGATCGTCATGCGCAGATTATTCTGCAGTTGATAATAGGAGATATTCGTCATGCGCAGAATAATCCGATGTTGGTTACAAAAGACAGATCGTCATGCGTGAAATGTTCCGCAGTTAGTGAAAGAAAACAGTTCGTCATGCGCAGAATAATCTGAAGTTGGTTGCAAAAAGCAGATCGTCATATGCAGAATAATCTGGTATTAGTTATAGAAAACAGATCATAATGTGCAGAATATTCCGCAGTTATTGATAGAAGATAATCGTCATGCACAAGACATTAGTAGACGTTCGTCATGTGCAGATGACTCTGCAGTTGGTGATAGAACGCGCAGAATAATCCGAAGTTGGTTACAGAAGACAGACCGTCATGTACAAAACATTAGAAGATGATTGTCATTCGCAGATGATTCTGCAGTTGGTGATAGGAGACGTTCGTCATGAACGTCAGAATGATCTGAAGTTGGTTACAGAAAACAGATCGTCATGCACAGATTAATCCGAAGTTGGTTACAGAAACCAGATAGTCATGCGCAGAATTTTTCACTTACAGATGCAATTAGGTCAATCATTCTCTTCTAAACGACGAATCTATACTACCAATTTTTTTCCTTTTTTTCTACATACTTGTTCGTTAATTAAAAAGAAAAAAGAATGCAATAATTCGTTACAATTAATTTAATTAGGATTTGTTAAAATAATCGAAATACTAACGAACAAATCGTTAATCCAAAATAATCTCTTTGACCTTGGAAAGATTACGTGATGATAAAAAAAATAAAGCGCATTCGTTGCGTTAACCAGTGTATCTCGTTAATTAATTCTTAATTACCTTACGTGCAACGAAGTTCTATAAAAATCCATCTGTATGACGATATATCAAGTTTTTTATTTTGTTTTTTTTTTCTTCTATGAGTTAGAATTAATTATCTTGTTGATCATTCGATCGAATTACATTTTTAATTGCGTAGAATTATATTTTATATTACTGTTTCATATAATTAATTTCATTTTTTTTTTAACTTTTATAAATTTGTACAATTTTAAAATCTTGCATGATTTTTACAAAATGTGTGACATTTACATTTTCCATTTTCTTTATTTAGTTACTTCACTTATTTAACATCCTAGTCACGTTCTATCGTAAATATATAAAATACATAAGGATATAGTAGATACTATTATACATACGATGCAATTTTGTTATTTCATTCTAATCTTATGACAAAAGCACGCGATCGTTTGTTCGTTCGTTCGTTTGTTTCTAACATTACCGACAGCTTTCAATATTTCAAGGACGGTTGTGAGAACACTTATTGAAATATAATAGAGAACTTTTCACCCTCATACAGTAATACATGATCTTGAAAACCTTTTCCTGATTTTATACTTAAAGGTACACAGATGATCGTAGAATGTTATAAATTTAATAAATAACAAAATTATTTTATAAACATTATTAAAATCAACAGATTCAATAGCAAATTAAATAATATTTTATATTTAATAAACATAAAAAAATGTTTTAGAAAACCTTGGAAATTACAATAAAGATACACTTCCAAAAACTACAAAAAACAGACCCACCCCCTCCCAAAAAAATCAAATACAAGTAAAAAAAAGTAATACGCGCATCTTTGCGACGCACAATGTAGAGAATCCCCCCCTTCCCACGAGTTTGCTGCGTTTCCGTGATCAGCACCTCCGTCACATGCACCACCCACCATCCCACCTACCCACCCGCTACTACTACAAGGTACCAGTAATACTAGCAGTACCATCACCACCACCCACCATGACTATCAGTAAATACCACCACCACTATCACTAACATCTTCATCATCAACAATGAACTTCACGAAACTGCAACACCAATACCAGCACTTTTACCACTACTCCAATCTCTTTTATCAACAACAGCAAACTCTACGAAGCACCAGCACCAATACCACAACTACAAGTTATACTAGAACCAGCACTACCAACACTAACAGGTTCTTCATCATTAACAAGGAGCTTCATGAAGCATCAGCACCAATGCCACCACTATTACTAACATCTTTATCATCTGCAATGAATTTCATGAAGCTGCAGCACTAATACAACCACTATCACCAGTAATACTAGGACCAATACTACTATCACTACCACTAACACTTTCTTTATCTTTAACAAGAAACTTCATGAAGCAGCAGCACCAATACCATCACTACCAGCAATACTAGAGCATCAACACAACCAATACCAGTAATACTAGGCACCAATACTAGTACCACTACCACTAACACCTTCTTCATCATAACCAACGAACTCCACGAATCAGTAACAGCACCAATACCACCATTACTAATAATACTCACACCAATACCACCACTACCATTAATACC